TTTGCTCATTTTAAACCCACCTGCTCCGCAAGCCAACCTGCCCTGCATATGGAAGGTCCCCGAGGTCAGGTTCCTGTGCTCCCTGCAAGCTACGTCTCCGACCGCCACGTCGAGATGTGTGCCCATGGGGGGCCGTCACTGCCTGTGCATGAATGCCATGCCGATCCTGGCCCCTCCTGACAGCAGCCAGGTGGAATTCTACGCAGCTGCTGTTATCACGCAGGCAGCCTCACAACGCTGTGCCCCCACGCCTCCTGGGGATGCATGGCTGGAGGCGTCAGTTGCCCATCTATATGCCCCGCTCGATTTGTATTGCGAGTCGGGTTGATGGTGGCCATTGCTGCTCTCCTCGTCCTCCGCTATACTTGCCGCCTATCTCACCGCTGACGTATGCATGTGTGGACACCTCAGACATTGGTCCCTCAGGGCTGCGGGGAGAAGAAGGAGGAGGAAGAGGAGGAGGACGATGGGGGAGGAGGAGGAGGAGGAGGAGGAAAAGGAGGAGGAGGAGGAGGAGGGGGAGGAGGAATAATATGAGGAGGAGAGAGGGGAGGAGGAAGGAGTAGGAGGAGGAGGAGGGATGAGGAGGGAGGAAGGAGGGCTCCAAGAGGGCTCCAAGGCCCCAAGAGGGCCCTAAGAGTGGCCCAGAGAGACCCCACAAGGGCCCCGAAAGCAGCCCCTTCCGAAACATATGATATGTTTCGTTGTGTTGCCCGCCCCCTTTTCCGAAGCATGAAATATGTTTCGGTTGCGTTTTCCTCTTGCTGCCGTTTCGGGCTCGTTTAGGGCCCCTTGTAGGACGCCAGTCCACTGGACCCACCAGCACCCCTCGAAAGTGGCGGCAGTTTCGCAATTCGCCCCCCCCCCCTCCCCCCAGGGATGGGGGATGGCGAGGTCCAATCTGAGCCCCCATAGGACGTCACTCTGCTGGGCCCCCCACGCAGCCCTCTAAAGTTGGCCCTTCTAGGGCTTATTTGGGCGCCAAGAAAAGTCAATACGGGCCCCAGGAGGGCTCCAAGAAGGCCCCAAGAGGGCCCTAAGAGTGGCCCAGAGAGACACCAATAATGCCCCCAAAGCAGCCCCTTCCGAAAAAACAAATATTGTTCGGTTGTTCTTCCCGCCCCCTCCCGACACATAAAATATTTGTCGGTTGCGTTTTCCTCTTGCTGCCGTTTCGGGCTCTTTTAGGGCCCCTTGTAGGACGCCAGTCCACTGGACCCACCAGCACCCCTCGAAACGGGCGACGATTTCGCAATTCGCACCCCCCCCAGGGATGGCGAGGTCCAATCTGAGCCCCCATAGGACGTCACTCTGCTGGCCCCCCCTGCAGCCCTCGAGCGTTGGCCCTTCTAGGGCTTATTTGGGCGCCAAGAAAAGTCAATAAGGGCCCCAGGGGGGGCTCCAAGAAGGCCTCAAGAGGGCCCTAAGAGTGGCCCAAAGAGACCCCAATAAGGCCCCTCAAGCGCACCCTTCCCCTAAAGAATTTTCAGAATCCCTATGGATTCGCACATATTCTTAAGGATTCCTGACGGAATCCGGAGGAGTCCTGATCCTAAGGATCCTAAGGGGTCCCAAGGACCCGAAGGAATCCTAAGGATCCTGAGGAGTCCGGAAGAACTCAAGTACTTGTGAAGAAGAAAGAAATACTTCTGAAGAAGAGAGGTACTTCTGAAGGAACAAATGTACTTCTGAAGATCCCATGGTTGTAATTGGTCCCATGTATGGTTGCAATTCGCTCCGAGCGGTTGGAATTGGGACCAGTCGGCGCAGTCCCATTTCGGGGGGAGGGGCGAGGGGAGGAGGAGGGAGGGGGGTTCAGGGAGAAAGGGAGGAGAGGGAGGGGAGAGAGGCAGGCCGCAGAAACGCGAGGAGCCGCAACCACAGATGGCCCCTCCTCCTCCTCCTCCTCCTCCTCCTCCTCCTCCTCCTCCTCCTCCTCCGCCTCCTCGCGATCCGTTTGGCCCCTATGGGCCGCCAGGCATAGCAGAAAACCGAAACCCCGACACAAACTGAATCCATAGTTTCTCTGATCAGGTCCGAGCACGTAGGTGTCGACGTGGCCTGCGCGTGCTGGCTTCGAACGCGGCTCAGACACGTATAGCGGGCTCTGGACATGGTCCGTGCCCTTCTGTGCGAGCGGGGCCTGTGCCGCTCGCTCGAAAAGGTCGTCGAACCGATGCTATGGGAACGGGAAACGTGCACAGCCAATGGGAGGGACAGCTGGCAGAGAACGAGGTTCGTCGGGTACACGGCACCACGTAGGCGTGTCCTTGCCGTACACCTCAAGCCCCACTGGATGAGGCCTGGGTATGGTGCCACACCCATGCAGCACCGCTGGCTGAGGGGACACACGTGACGCCAGGTTACTGCCCACGACGAATTAATCGATGGTGGACACCCTGTTGGACGTGGCACACGTGTGGGCCGATGGCTGGAGAAGGATGCCTGCCATGGGCTCGACCCAACCACCTATGTTGATACTCTGGCCGTCCGCATCCCAGTCGCCCCCGATGATCCAATCCAACCCCCGTGGGTTCCAGGCCGCCACGCGCTGCGCCAGCGCCCACAGGATGGAGAGGTTGGGCCCAGTGACCCCAGTGCCTTGGATCATGTACACGCTGACGACGATCGCCCCACCAGGGACGCCCCAGTGGACATGAGCAGCCACAGCATGATGTGGAAAGACGAGATGGTCCCCGTCGGGCGGCATCGTGACCATCACATTTGTGGGCACCAGCACGCAAATCCCGCTGGAGCACGAAGCAGCAACTGCGCCTGTGGCTTCTGCGGGTGCCCAGATGCCATGCCACCCCGCATCGCGGACCGCGTTCTGGACCGCACTGAGCTGGCTGCTGACCACGCGGGTCCTCTGGACCATCACAACATTGCCCGAGAAGTGCGGGGGGGAAGTTGAGGAGGAGCGCATAGGAACCAGGATTGTCAGTGACCACCTTGGATGAAACCTGGCCGTGCATGGCTCCAGTGGCCGCCATGGCTGCACCTGGATCCTCGCGGTCTTGATCAGTGGCAGGCATGGCTGCCGCTGGGCTGGCTTCCAAGCTCGCCCTCGGCGTCGTCATGCCGCCGTCACGAAAACGAGGGGGGGCCTTTCCGCCAATTGCGCAGCAAACCAGCGGTGTTGGCAGGAGCCGCAGAAAAAGGCCTGCCCCGAGCACTCGAAAACACCCTCGACCCCTGCATCAACATGGGCCATGCACAGTGCCCAGAGCACGAAGTAGAGCCAGCATCGAGGGCGGGCCGCACTCGGGGAGGAGGACGATGCACTTGGAGAACTGCTGTGCCACTGGGCGCCCGCTGGTCCCCCAGCGTGGCGTTTGGATGCCGTTTGGTCCCCGCCAAGCCGCAAGCTGGTCGTAGAAGGGCTGGCAGTGGCCGAACTCGGGGCAAACTCTGACTCAAAGCGCCCTTCACCAGGGATGGGGCGGACCGCGCACCCAGCACTCCACCTGACAGCCTATACATGGTACGTACTGCCAAATTGGATGTAGGGGGGGCACGCATGGCCACAGCTGACATTTCGTACATGGTACATCCTGTCAGGTTGATGGCGCAACCACCCAGTGCCACAGCGACTGGTCGCATAGAGCAACGGGGCAACCGTTGAGTTGACCGTGCCCCCAGCGCCCCAGCTGACAGTCTGTACATGGTACATGCTGTCAGGTTGGAGTCAGAACGGGCACGAGAGGCAACAGCTGGCAATCCGTACCTGGTACACCATGGCAGGTTGATGGCTGCACAGCCCAGTGTCACAACTGACTTGGAGCCAGACCCTCACCCCGTGACCCGAGCACGGACGGGAGCACAGGTGAGCGACCTGGTCCATCTTCCTTGCACGCCAGCCCTGCAAACATCGGCGGTGCGTTTGCACTTCCGCCCCTCTGACATTTCTGGCTGAGAATGGCTCGAGACATTTCTGGCTGAGAAGGCCCGCCGGATTTCGCTTCCCACCCCGAGTTCAAGACCGGCACGGCCTTCTGGCCGATCGTGTGTAGCGTAGCGCAGCACTGCCGTGCCCAAACTGGCACCAGAGGACCACCACAGGAAGTGCCGCCGTCGTAGGATCAGCAAGGGGCCATAGCTGATGAGGCACGCATGGCATTTCTGATCATTTGGAGGAGGAGGGGGAGGAGAACATCGGAGAATGATGATGATGATGATGATGATGATGATGATGGTGGTGGTGATGATGATGATGATGCTGCTGCTGCTGCTGCTGCTGATGAGGATGAGGATGAGGATGAGGATGAGGATGAGGATTAGGATGATGGTGATGATGATGATGATGATGCTGATGATGATGATGCTGATGATGATGATGATGATGATGATGATGATGATGATGATGATGATGATGATGATGATGCTGATGCTGATGCTGATGCTGATTATGATGAGGATGATGAGGATGAGGAGGAGGAGGAGGAGGAGGAGGAGGAGGAGGAGGAGGAGGAGGAGGGGGCACGGAGGAGAGAAGGGGACAGAAGAGGGGCGGAGAGCGGAGAGCGGAGCGGAAGGGGGAGGGATGGAGGGAGCGGGAGGCGAGAGATGAGCTGCGGGAAGGCCGAAGGGCGCAGGAAGAAAAGAGGAGAGGAGAAGGGAGGAGGGGAGGAACAAAAATCGAATGGTAAGGGGGGCGGAAAGGGGGGAATCGCAAGGAGCGGAGGAGGAGTGAGACACTGGCGACGGCGACGACGACGACGCCGACGCCGACGCCGACGCCCACGCCGACGCCGTTGCCGACTCCGACGACGACGGCGACGACGATGACGACGATGCCGACGGCGACGGCGACGGCGACGGCGACGGCGACGGCGACGACGACGGCGCCGGCGACGACGACGCCAAAGCTGACGCCAACGGCGACAGCGGCGACTACGGCAATCACGACGACAAACGACGCGCACGGCCTCGCTCTGGAGCGGCCGCCTCCCTTCCTCGTGGGGGAAGGGGGTGGGGCGGGCGGCGCCCGGGCGCACGGCCTCCCAGGATACAGGGCGTTGCCAGGGGGCAGCTCGGGCATGTACTCCTGGGCGGGAGCAGAGAGGCCTCCCAGATGGGCTCTGGGAGGGCGGGGTCGGCGCCGCCTCGCCAATGCATATAAGGAGGATCAATAAGCAGAGGTAGAGGCGGGGAGGGGGGGATGCGGCGAGGGGCAGGGTTTCTTCGTTCGGGGTATCCAGGGGAGGCGGCGGAAGAGGGAGATGAGGAGGGTAAATTACAAGGGGGTCTCACCATATCTACTGCAAGTAAGGATGAAAAGTGACGGAAGAGGACGAGGAGGAGGAACTCATGGATATATGGGAGAGGGGATGATGAGCAGGAGGAGCAGGGGGAGGCGTACTGTAGAAGGAAAGGGATGGGAGGGGAGGTGAGGGGAGGGGAGAAAGCAGGCAGGGCAGAATGACGAGAAGACGGAGTGCGCTCCAGGGGCTAAGGGGAGGAGGGGCGGGGGGCAGGGGGAGGGGGGGGAGGAGGAGGCGGGCGGGGTGGGGTGGAGGTACATTCGTTTGGCGAGGTGTGCAAGGGTCGAATGGCGACACACTTCTGGACGGCCCCCCAAGGAAAGGTCGTGTGTGGGGGGGGAGGGACGGAGGGGGTTGAAGCGATGAGGATGGCACTGGAGAGAACGACCATGACCACATCCTTCGAGACGACTGCTTGAGCCATCGCCACTGGATATTCCTGACATGGCGAAAACGGAAGAGGAGCAGAAGGAGGAACCATACGAAAAGGACGAATGAGGAGACACACCATCATGACTAGGAGCAGCAGGTAGACGGCGGCGTCCCCGCTTGGGCCGACCTTTTCGGGATGGGGCGCGAGGTCGGTGACGAAAATGATGTGTGGGACGACGACGACGACGCTGACGCCGACGCCGACGCCGACGCCGATTTGCTGAGCGATCTTTCCAGAACGGATGACGGCACTGAGGAGAGAGGAAAAGACGATAAGTAGAAGAAGGAGGGAGGAGGAGGAGGAGGAGGAGGATGTAGGTGGCAGAGGGGTGTCACATGAAGGGAACGAATAGGAGACATGAGGGCGGATTCACCTCTGCGCGCGCTGAAACGTAAGGTCATTTCCCACGCGTCTCAGGGGTCGCTCCTTTATTCCATGCCTAGTCCCCTCAGCCCTTGTCCCTTTCCTGAGGACGAGGATGAGGTGGCGGGGGAGAGGGGGAGGAAGAGCAAAAGTGCGGAAGAGGAAGATGAGGAGGAAGAAACGGACCAAATTGAGGAGGAGAAGGACGATCGAGGGTCGAACGTCGAGGATGTTGGATATGTTGCGTCATCCACTTCCTCCCCCTTTTCTTCGTACCCCGCCCCCTCGGAACTGGCCCCTCGACATGTCTGTCCGGCAACGCGTTCTGATCAGAACTGCGGCGACAACAGGGCTCCGGGAAGGACCACGTGAGGAGAAGGATGACAACGACGACGAGGACGTGCCTCCCAACCCAAACATCTGGCGCCCCCATTTCTTCGTGGCGTGACCCTGTGGGCCTCCTGGAAGAGAAGGAGGAGGAGGTCGAGCGTGCCCAAAGAAGAGGAGGAGGAGGAGGAGGAGGAGGAGGAGGAGACGACCTCAGGGACGGAGAAGGGGGGAGGCGAGAGGAGGAGAGAGGAGAGAGGAGAGAAGGGGACGAGGGAGCACGATCCACCGCCGCTGGCCTGACAACTTTGTCCACGGGGGGGTCAGAAACCAAGGGCCCCCCCCCACTCCCCCAAGCTCCCCGCCCCCCCCAGAAAGAATCCAGGAGGTCCAGACTCTTCCCCACCCCTGGGAAGGTCCATGGGGGGGGTCCGGACCCTTCCACCCTTCCAGTGGGAAGATTAGCTGGGGGGTCCGGACCTCCCCCCCCCCGGGGAAAAATTAATGGGGGGGTCCAGGACGCACCGCCCCCAGAAAAATCATTTGGGGAACCCACAACCCCACCCCCCCGACGACGACGATGACGACGACGACGATGACGACGACGACGGCGACAACGACGACGTCGGCGTCGGCGACGACGACGATGACGACGTCGACGTCAGCGGCGGCGGCGGTGCACCTGTCGCCAGCGCCCGTGTAAGTCGCTGGCTCTGATAAAATGCTACTAGGGCTCTGTTCAGCTCTCTCGGTATCCCCCACTAGGGCCCTGCTATACTCGACCCTGCTCTACACTACTCTATTATACTCAACTCTACGTTCCCTTTACTCTACCGTACCATACCCTAATATGTGTTGCTCTACTCGCCTTTTGCTCTTACTCTACTCTGCTCTGCTCTGCTTTGCTCTGCTCTGCTCTGCTCTGCTCTTCTCTGCTCTACTCTACTCTACTCTATAATACTCCTTCTCTACTTCTTCTCTACTATACTCCTTCTCTACGCTATTACTTCCTACTCTACTCTACCCTAGTCGACCCTGCCTTACCCCAACATACTCTACTATTCACCACCGCAGGTTCTCTCACTACCACTCTAAGCCTCAGTCCTCACTCCTGGGGAGATAGGAAGGTGTTTGGAACCCCTCGGCCAAATTCTCCCAGGGCGTGGAGCGTGACCCCTGAACTCCGCCGAGTTTTCCCGCGTGAATTTTTCGGGCCCAAAAAGGCCCCAAGACGGGCCAGCAGGGCCCCAAGAAACCCCTAAGACGGTCCACGAGGGCCCCGAGTCGCCGAACAATCGCTCCAAGACGCTCAAGATGGCACCCAGCAGGCCCAGGAGGCCTCCAAGACGCCCAAAGAGGCCTCCCAGAAGACTCCCAAGAGGGCCCCAACAGGCCAAAAGCATTGACGTGTCTTAGGTTGTTGTAGGATTTGGGCGTTTTCGCCCTGTCAGCTCCCCGACGCTCCCAGACGGCCCCAGACGCCCCCCGCCCCCAAGGCGGCCCAACAGGCCTCCAACAGGGCCGCCCCCAAACGGCCCAAGAGGGCCCTAAGACAGCCCAGGCGGCGCCCAAAATGGCCCAAGAAGGCTTCAAAGCGGCACCAGAGAAGAGGGAACACGAACCAAAAATCCAAGCCTTCTGCCCCAAGAAGCCCCAAGGAGGCCCCAAGATGCGCCCAGGAGGCCCCAAGAGGCCCCCGAGATGCCCCCAAGAGGCCCGAAGATGCCCCCAAACGGCCCACAAGAGGCGCCCAACCTGCGTCCAAGAGGCACCCGAAAAGCCTCCCACGAGATTCCAACGAAAATCAACTAGTCTTCATACCCACAACCTGGGCACGGTGGCGGGATGGGCCGAGTGCCACTAGATCCGCCGCCCCCTTTTGCTTCAGCAAAGGGGTGCACGGCGTGCTTGATGTTTCAGGTTTTGGTTTTGGTCTTTTTCTAAAAGAACTCCCCAATGGGCTTCGGCCCGTCCCGCCGGCCACCCGCAAGTTTCCGAAAATCCATCTGTCAATGCCTTTGTTGCCCCAACTTGGCCCAAGATGGCCTCCAAGACGGCCAAGATGGCCCAAGATGGCCTCCAAGATGCTTCCAAGACGGCCAAGATGGCCTCCAAGACGGGTAAGATGGCTCCAAGATGCACCCAAGACGCCCAAGATGGCCTCAAGATGGTCTAAGACGGCCCAAAAGGCCCGCAAAAGGCCTCCAAGACGGCCCAAGAGCCCTCCAAGACGCCCTCCAGGAAGGCCCGAATAGGTTAAAATCATTGATTTTCCTTAGGTTTTCAAGGATGTTGGCATGTTCTTCTTTTCAGCTCTCCGACGGCCCAAGACGGCCCAAGAGGTCCCCAACATCGCCCCAACAGCACCCAAGAGGCCTCCAAGATGGCCCCATGACGGCCCAAGAGGCCCCCAAGAAGGCCCCAAGAGGGCCTCAAGACGGCCCAAGAGGCCTCCAAGACGCCCAAGATGGCCTCCAAGACGGCCAAGATGGCCCAAGATGGCCTCCAAGATGCCTCCAAGACGGCCAAGATGGCCTCCAAGACGGGTAAGATGGCTCCAAGATGCACCCAAGACGGTCCAAGATGGCCTCAAGATGGTCTAAGACGGCCCAAAAGGCCGGCAAAAGGCCTCCAAGACGGCCCAAGAGCCCTCCAAGACGCCCTCCAGGAAGGCCCGAATAGGTTAAAATCATTGATTTTCCTTAGGTGTTTGAAGGATTTTGGCATGTTCTTCTTTTCAGCTCTCCGACGGCCCCAGACGGCCCATGAGGTCCCCAACATCGCCCCAACAGCACCCAAGAGGCCTCCAAGATGGCCCCATGACGGCCCAAGAGGCCCCCAAGAAGGCCCCAAGAGGGCCTGAAGACGGCCCAACAGGCCTCCAAGACGCCCAAGATGGCCTCCAAGACGGCCAAGATGGCCCAAGATGGCCTCCAAGATGCCTCCAAGACGGCCAAAATGGCCTCCAAGACGGGTAAGATGGCTCCAAGATGCACCCAAGACGGCCCAAGAGAGTCCAAGACGGCCCAAGACAGCCCAAGAGGCCCTCCAGAGGCCTCCTAGACGGCCCAAGAGGCCTCCAAGAGGTCCTCCAGGAGGGCCCGAAGAGGCCGAAATCCTTGATTTTCCTTAGGTGTTTGAAGAATTTCGGCATCTGCTTCTTCTCGGCATTCCGACGGCTCAAGACGGCCCAAGAGGCCCCCAAGATCGCCCAAGAGGCCCCCAAGAAGGCCCCAAGACGGCCCAAGCGGCCTCCAACACGCCCAAGATGGCCTCCAAGACGGCCCCGAAGCGCCCCAAGAGGGTCCCCCGTTGGCCCAGAAAGGCCCCCAAGACGGCTCCCGACGGCGTCAGACGTGCCAGGAACCCACCAAGATGGCCGAAGTTGGCTCGAAGCTGGCCCAAAAGGGCCCAAGAGGCCCCCAAGAGGGCCTCCAGGAAGGCCAGAAGAGGCCAAAAACATTGATTTTCCTAAAGTTTTTGACGGATTTTGACATTTCCTTCTTTTCGGCCTTCCGACGGCCCGAGACGGCCCAAGAGCCCCCAAAGATCGCCGAGAGATCGCCCAAGAGGCCTCCAAGACGGCCAAGATGACCTTCAAGACGCCCACGTGTTCTCCGAAGGCTTTCCAAACCGATTCGGGGAACACATGGTCCGATGGCTTGGCAGGTCTGGCCTCAACGTTCGGCCACATAGGCGCTTCCACAAAGGCAGGGGGCGGCGGTGATTCGCCGTAGGCGTCTTCGATACTCTACTTAGCTCCTGCTCTACTCTACTCCTACTCTGCTCCGGCTTTACAACTCCACTCTACTCTATCCTGCCCAACTCTACTCTACTGTACTCTATTCGACTAGACTCTACTCTATCCAGCTCTACTAGTTTATACTGCTGCTCTGGTCTACCTATATATTATTCTCTACTCGACTCTATTTGCCCCACTCTGCGCTACCCTGTTCTACTCTCCCCTACCGTATCTTAACGTACTCTACTCCACTCTACTCCGTTTTGCTCTCACTCTACTTTGCTCGACCCATGCTGTACTCTACTCCACACTACTCTCCAATACTCTACTCTGCCCTACCCTACTCTACCCTACTCTGCCATACCGTGCCCAATAGTGTCTACTATACTGTAAGTGTTCCTTCTCTACTCTGCTCCACTCTGCTCTGATCTGCTTTACTCTACTCTACTCCTGCTCTAATATGCTCAGCTCTACTCTACTATTGATTATGTTATATTATATCAATATGCTCCCGTCTACACTACTCTTGTTCTACCTCTGATATGACATACACATCCCTACTCTACTCTACTCGATCCTACTCTATACTATCCTACCGTATCCATCACTGCTCTACTCGACTCTACCGTCTACTCTACTCCTAGTACACTCGACTCTACACCCCCTCTACCCTGATCGTACTCGTCCTCTTCGTCGTCTTCGTCATCGTCGCCATCGTCGTCGTCGTCGTCGGTGTCGTCGTCATCGTCGTCGTCGTTTTCGGCTTCGTCGTCCTCGTCGTCCTCGTCGTCGTCGATGCCGTCGTCGTGTCGGCGTCGGCATCGGAATCGGCGTGGGCGCTGGCGTCGTCGTCGTCGTTGTCGTCCTCGTCTTCGTCGTCGTCGTCGGTCGTCTTTGTCGCGCGTCGTGCGTCGCGCGTCGTGCGTCGTCGTCGTCGCCGTCGCCGTCGCCGTCGCCGTCGCCGTCGCCGTCGCCGTCGCTGTCGTCGTCGTCGTCGTCGTCGTCGTTGTCGTCGTTGTCGTCGTCGCCGTAGTCACCGCCGTCGTCGTCGCCGTCGCCGTCGTCGTCGTCGTCCTCGTCGTCGTCGGACGTCGTCGTCGTCGTCGCCGTTGTCTGGGGGGAAGGGGACCCCCTCCCACCTGGAGGGGGGGGGACCCCCTCCAAATGATTTTCCGGGGGGGGACCCCCCCCATGGCCGGCTACTGTTCCTCGGGCTGGGGACTGGGGGGCAGTCTGGACCACCCACTCATTTTCCTGGGGAGGGGCTGGGGATCCTGAACCCCCACCCGTGTTTCTTTTGGGGTTGAACCCCCCCTGCCAACAGCGGCAGAAAGCGCTCTTTCAGATCAGCGGGCGAGGGGGAAGAAGAGGAGTCTTGGGCCCCGACGGGCGCCGCCCATCGTCCTGGTTCCGCGGGTTCACCAGCTTGTACGGCCCCCCCGCCTGGAGCCCCATGGACTCCAGCTGAAGACCAGCCGCCGTGAGGCCCTTCTCCGCCGAGGGGACGACCTCGGCGCGGCGTCTGATGAGCACTGAAAACGCCCCTATCCCTTTGGGGGGGACCTGAGTTAGGAGGGCCAAAAACATAAGGGATACGGGTGCTTCTGTGCAGATTTATCAAACGACACCACCAATGTTTTTAGGGACATCTACCGTACCTAACAACCGTGGACCTGAGTTGGGCATCAGATTCATTGTTGTTTTCCTTCCAACGCACTCACGCACATCACGACGAAATGTGTGGCAAAACTCCTGGGATCCACTCCGCAAGGGATCCACTCCGCAAAGGAGCCACGGAGCTGGTTAGCAAACCCGGCGACAACAAACAATGCAAACACATGGGCTCTTCTTTTTGGAAGTGCGCGCGCATGCGCTAAACTTGGCCATCCGTTCGGAGGAAGTGTACCATGTTCCATGTAGCTGACGAGTGCGTGCCATGTTAACTGCCTCAGCTTTACTGGACTTGGAGGAGCCAAGTCTGCATCGACACTCAACGCATGCAACTGGATGATCTTCTTCTGAAATCCGCCAGACGGCCTTTCTGCGAAGCCTTGACGCTTTGAGATGTGACAACGAACGCCGATTCTGTCTACGAGGTGTCCCGGCGGCAACCTGGTTAACGGGCTTTCTGCCCGCGTCTAGTCAGGGTCTCGCTGCCGATCCTCAACTACAGTCACGATGACAAGGATACAGCAGGAGCTCGACCACAAGAAACCTTCCACAAGAAACCCAATCCTGAGACCCCAGGACGTCCATTGATGTTTGGTATGGGAACGTCATGCTTTCCATCGCAAAACTATAGAAACCCAAGAAACCCATGGCACCCTGGAGGCAAGCAGGGTGTTTCTTGGCATGGGTTTCCACTGTGCCAGAAGCCGGGGAGGCGGGCAAACAGAGCAGCCAGAGGAAGAGGAGCGAAGATCGGGGGTCGACTGCGCTCTCCCAGTTGATGGCGTTCCTCTCCTCGTCGGTCATCTTCCGCCTTCTCTTCCGCACCCTCCGCCCTGGAGGAAGTCCTTTCGAGAAGGGTGCTCGAGGATCGAGGCTCGAGAATTGTGATGTTTTGGAGCGTCATGTGATGATCTGGGGGATACTGTGCGGCGAAGGCCCAAGAAAAGAGCATCGATGATGAGGGATCGCGGAGGGAGGCGAGGGAGAAAGATGGGGTGGCGAAGACGGGCACAGGACGAAATCACACCGATGACCAATGATCCCAGGTGGGCGACGGACACGGAAGCAAGCTGAAGTGACGAGGAGCACGAACAGGATGACGATGAGGATGACCGCGACAGCGCGCCTGAGAGATTGGGAGCCAATCAGTCCTCCTCCTCCTCCTCCTCCTCCTCCTCCTCCTCCTCACTCCCCCGCCTGCGCCTCCGCCTCCGCCTCCGCCTCATTCTCCTCCTCCTCCTCCTCCTCCTCCTCCTCCTCCTCCTCCTCCTCATCCTCTCTTCCTCCTCTCCTCCTCCTCCTCCTCCTCGTCCTTGTCCTCCAGTGATGCGCGAGATCTTTCGCGTGGCGAAAAAATCACGACGAGATTAGATTCGCTATTTTCGGCCTCCAAGGGGCCTCATTGGGCGTCGGGACCGTCAAAAAACGACTCAAGATGGAAAACCGGTCCCATGGGAAGAAGGGTCCAGACTTCTTGGGGTCGACGTTGCGAAAAAATCACGACGTCGAAGGTCCGAGGAGAGGGATCAGAAGCAAAGCAGGGAGGAGAGGGGGGGCGAGGAGGGGGGAATCGACGTACAATCAACCCGTATAATTCGCCGGCCCAACGGGCCAGAGGCGTGCGAAGATCTTCGGTATCTGCTCTGCAGTATCTCTACTTCACGCGCGCGGGGCGGCCCCTGGAGGTCCCGGGACGAAAAATACCCTGGCCAAGTCCCCGCTGGTTCGGATCAGAAATGTTTTTTCTCTTTTCAGGCTTTCCATACCGCTCCTGGAGGGCCTCAGCAAGCCCTCAAGACGGTCCAAGAGGGCTCCGCGTCGTCGAACGATCGGGCCAAGGCGCTTAAGGCGGCCTCTGGATAGCCCAGGCATTTCGATCTCTCGGCCCCGAGAGGCCCCCAGAAGGGCCCAAGAAGCTCCCAAGAGGCCCACAAGAGGCCTCGAGCGGCCCCCACGAGGCCCTCAACAGGCCCCAGGAGGCCCCGAAAAAAACGCCACGAGACCCCCGAGAGGCCTCCCACGAGACCCCAAGAAGCCTCCCAAAGAGGCGTCTTGTCCACAACCAAGTTTGGCCCCACCATGCCCCCTGGAGCCATCGAGAGGCCTCCTCCTCCTCATCCTCATCCTCCCCTCTTCCTCCTCCTCCACCTCCTCCTCCTTCGCTCGCCACGACCACGCCGACACCAACATATAACACCAATTATACCTATACGACCGCCCTGCGGGCGATAAGGAGGTTGGGGGGGATTGAGATCAAATGCCCACCCTGACTGACCTCCAGCCCGTCACCTTGATCTCATCTCTCTCTCTCTCTCTTTCTCACTGTTTCTCTCTCTCTCTCTCTCAGTCTCTCTCTCTCTCTCTCGCCCTCTCTCTCTCTCTCTCTCCCTCTCTATCAGAGTCTCCCTCCACCACAATGGTGATCACGATGACGATGAGATCCCACTATGTGTCTATCCGTCGACCGACTTATCGGTCGACGGATAAGACGCCGAACGCTCGAGCCTCGCAGTCTGCCGCGATCGCGCCCAGGCGCCGACAAAAATGAATTGATGGATTGGGTTGGGTGGATTGAATTGGATGGGATAAGATGGATTGGATAAGACAACATGGGTTCGATTGGAAGAAATGGATTTGATAAGGTAAGATGGATTGGATTGGCCCGCCGCAGCAGCAGAAACACATGAATTCATGGATTGGGTTGGATGGATTGGTTTGGGTGGGGTAAGATAAGATGTGACAATATAGGTTGGATAAGATAAGATGGATTGGACAGGACAATCTGTTTTGGTTAAGATAAGCTGGATTGGATAAGAAATCCCGCCGCAGGTGCCGACAAACATGAGTTGATGGAATGGGTTGGGTGGATTGGATTGGATGGGATAAGATGGATGTGATGAAATAAGATGGGTTGGATTGGAAGAAATTGAATGGAGAAGAGAAGATGGATTGGATTGGCCCGCCGCAGGCGCAGAAACTAATAAATTTATGGATTGGGCTGGGTGAATTGGATTGGGTGGGATAACATAAGATGGGACAATATGGGTTGGATAAGATAGGATGGATTGGATTGGACAATATGTATTTGATAAGATAAGCTGGATTGGATAAGAAAGCCCGCCGCAGGCGCCGAAAAAAAAGAATTATGAAATTAGCGACATGCGCTAGCGCCGGGACGCCCGGGACACCCGGGACACCGCCCGGCCCAACTGGGTCACCTGCCGGCCACCGGCGGACGGGAAACGGACTTTCGCTCCTACTGACACCCGGGACACCCAGGACACCGCCCGGCCCAACTGGGACACCTCCCAGCCACCGGCGGACGGGAACGGACGTTCGCTCCTACTTCGGCCTAGCTACAGGAGGATCACGCGCAGCTTCGCCTCGCCCGCACGCACGACACGAACACGAAACCGAAACCGATTTCCCGGTGGGGGGTCTCCGTTTCACTGCGATCTCACCCCCCAACCTCCGACAGTATGGGCCGGCGGAATGACCGAAGCGATTACTCCAGATTTCGTAATAAAAGGGAGGGGGTCTGGACCCTCCAAGACAAGCCATTTCAGACCCCCCCCCGTGGGAGAACCCTCCAAAACATCGTCCCCAGACCCCCCCAGGCCCTCCAAGATAGCTTGGAAGAGACCCCCCCCCGAAATGAGACCCCCCTCCCTTTATAACGAAATCTGGAGTAAATCAGGATGCGCCTTCTCGCACTTCTCCTTGCGCCTCTCTCGGAGCTCCCGTGCATCTCCGCTGGCTCTTGCGGCCAGCATGCTCTCTACGACCGTCCTGACAGCCTCTCCGACCAATCTTGGGCCGTCTGGCCGCCTTCTTGGCATCGTATTTCGCCCATCTGGGGCGCCCCCTCAGAGCCTCCAGGGGCTCTTCCATGAGCCGCAAGCAAATTCGTACTCATTTTTGTTTCCCTTCCTGTTTTCGACGTTCACCCCAAGTCGCCGCACTTGACCCATTCGGGGTTCCTATTTGGGCTCCTCCAGAGGTCCCCCTGAGACGAACCCGACGGCTTTTGTTCAGCTTCTCCAGCCTTTCGGCAGCCGTCCTAGCCTCAGGGTCATGTGAAAGCCACTCCTTGGCGCGCTTTCTGGGACAAACCCGACGTTTTTTTTTCAGTTCCACCAGCCTCTCTGCGGCCGTCCTGGCCTCAGGGTCATGCGACACAGAGCTCGCTGCTTTCAGCTCCTCCAGCCTCTCTGCGGCCGTCCTGGGCTCAGGGTCTTATGACAGAGAGCTCGCTGAGGAGCCCAACGTCCTCTCCATAGAGCCCCACGAGGCCTCCAAGCGGAAGCACCAGCACCAGCACCAGAACATCTCCTATTCGCGCGCGCGGAGCGGCCGCCGCTCTCACAGTCTCCAGGATCCAAAAATGGTGGGCGGCGGTGTCTGCCCCCTCAGGGGCGTTCGATTCAATAAGGATGCGCGGTAAGGATGCAAGGGCCTTGGAGGGCCATGTTAAACGTTTCTCGAGCGCGAGGTTGCCCAGCGAAGGTCGCTAAGGATGGGCCGACGGGGTAGGGACGCAGGGTAGCCTTGGAAAGTTGCTCGTCCTTGCTATGCGGGTTGACTGCACAGGGTGCGGAGCAAGAGGCGGGCATGGCGAAGACGGTGAACGAGAAGGGATCGACGGCTGGACCTTGTTTGATGCACGGGTCACAACCCTCGCATCGTGACCACCACGACCTACCGCGACCCGGGCCCAGAAAGGCGCAAGCATCGATGCTCCGCCGGAGAGATGGCCTGATACACGCATGAGCCGTCGCGGTCCTGCCAAGTCCGAGCCAGCGCTCTTGAATTAGCCAGGCTCCTCCCGCCCATCCTTCTGCGATCTCCTCCGTCCACTTCCTCCCGTTTCTAGGGATCCTCCCCCCTCCTCCTCCCCCTTCCGTCTCTTCAACTTCGATTCCCCTCCCTCCTTCTCCATTTCCCTTCTCCTCTCGCCTCCACATCCCACATCCGTGCCTCCTCCTGCCTCCTGCCCCCGAGCAGATTCCTGCCAGCGTTCTCAGCGGAAGTCGTGGCCCTGCGCTTCGCACCATCACCACGATGCAACTGCCCCTCTCGAGCACAAGGCGTGATGCAAATCACCAGTGGCGCGAATGCCCTGCAGCTCGGGAGCCGCCCCTTCCACCGGAGCAAGCCGGGTCACAGGAGCGAAAAGTCCCCACCGCCCACCCTGGAGGATTGGCCCCTGCTGTCGAGATTGCCCTGGTGGTCGGACGTGCGGAAGTCTCGCATCGCGGCCTTCTTCTCTGCACGCGCCGCCTTGCCAGAGAAGACCGGATTGGGTTTCTTCTTCGAGTTGGACTGGGGATACACTCCGAGGTCGTCCGCGTCCAACTCCGAAGCGAGAGTCAGCTCATGCTCAACTGCTGCGCTGTGCTCGGCAAGCTTCTGCAGGTCCCCGAACCGATCGTCACCAATGTCATTTGCGAGCTTCTCCGCGCGGCACGCCTCGATATACTTTGCGTCGTTTCTGTACGCGTCCAATTGTTTGGAAAGCTGGGATCTGAGCTTCTTGTTGGACGGGCCAGTGAGGGAATCTATTTCGGAGCGAATCCTGGAGATCTCAGAATCCACCATCACTTTGTAGGCCATCAGTGTTGACATTGTGGTTAGCACAACCCTAATGTCACGCGGAGTGCTGTGCGAAATGCCGCCCTGCAAACATCCTGAGCCAACGCTGCTACGGTCGCCCATTATGCCAAACTTTGCTCGTCACCCTCCGCCACCCTCTCCTCCTCCTCCTCCTCCTCCTCCTCCTCCTCCTCCTCCTCCTCTTGCTCCTCCTCTTGCTCCTCCTCCTCCTCCTCCTCCTCCTCCTCCTCCTCCTCCTCCTCCTTCCTCCTCCTCCTTCTCTTCCTTCCCCTCCTCCCATCCTTCCTCCTTCCTCCTCTTTCCTCTTCCTCCTCCTCCTTCTCATCCTCCTGCAGCCGTGAAGCAAGTCACCAACGTACACACGCATCTGGGGGAACCGCTGCTGCCTGGACCTCTCCCTGGGCGCGTAGTGGCAAGGATTTCAAGGCGAGGCCAGCCGCGGCGACGAGGAGTGGGTAGCTGCATCGGGATCTCTTCCTTCCCTGAGCACCCTCGGAGAGTCGGAGGCGTCGAGGCGACGATG